GGGCGGGTAGTGAAAGGGGGAAGAGGGTGTTGCCGTGACTAGTCAGGTCCCCCTCCCTCCCTGGGTCGTGTTTGCCGGTATGCGACTTTGCGGCGCGCTGCTCGTCATCTCGCGCTGCGCTCCTGTTTTATCTAGAATACCACTTATATCAACACGTGCGCTCTAGCTACCATAAAGAGGTGCATATTGTCTTGTTAGATACCTATTCCCGTGATATGAGCTGTGTGGCAGGGCTACCGGTTATTCAATCCGATCGTGGGTGGTGTCTCGCAAGGCAATGAGAAAGATTACAACTACTGCCGGCTTTTACGACGTGCGGAGAGATGAGTGGTAATCAGACTACGCTCGAGTTCTACCCTGAGCTAATATGAATGCCTGTCTTGTAATTCTGGGATGGTTAAATAGTCTGAACAAATACTGTCCCCTTGCGTCTTATGCTCAAATAGGATAGTAGACAAGAACCCGCGGACAGGGTGCAACGGAGGCGGGAAAAGCACTAGAGCAGGGTGGAAAATACCATGATTCCCCAGTTCATCAGATTTTGTTTTTGGTTGTACATTATTGTAAGGATGCCAGTCCCAAGCGGCCAAGCAATCTGATCACTGTTCCAAGCAAACCGCAAACCATGTCCCCTCGAGCCCCAGCCAAAGCACATCAAAGCGTAATAATAAAGAAAAAGTAGATGACCCAGGTATCGAAACGGGTGAGAGAAGCGACGTGTTCGCGTGGTAAAACGACGAAAACATCGCAGAACGCGGGGGAGGGCACTGCAGAGAAAGATGCTCCGAATCCCAAACACAGACAGGCAACGAATTTACAGGATGTCCTCCTCCATGGCGGCATCTCCGTTCGCAGCGGCCACAGGAGCCGCGGTGTTGGTCCCCTCAGCACCGTTGCTCTCACCACCTTGGAAGTAGTCGGCCATCTCCGAGTCGAGCTCTTCGGCCGTCTTCTTGGTCGGTCTGGCGTTCTTGGCGCGACGAGGGTTGGCAGCGGCCTTCTTGGTACCCTTTGCGCCGTCAGCGGCAGCACCGTTGGCACCGGTCTTGGCACCGCGCTTGTCCGAAGCAGCGGACTTAGGCTGGGCTTTGGGCTGGTTATGGCTGTGAGGTAGCAGGATTGTTAGTCAACAGGTGTCATCGGCAGGCGTGAAGCGGCAAGGTTCTTGGTCAAACGTACGTGATACGCTGGCTCAGGGTCCTGGGCGCAGGGATCTGGTCGGCGGTAGAGACGACAACCTCGACCTTGATAGGCCTCTGGTCGATGAGGATGCCGTTGAGCTCCTGGAAGGCCTTGCTGGCCGCATCGGCCTGAGCGAAGATTATCGTGGCAATACCACGGCTAACTCCTCCAGGGCCGTATGAGATCTCGACCTTCTTGACGGTTCCAATGGATTTGCCGAAGTACTCCTGTAGGGAATGGTGATTAGCATCCATGAGTGTGGACGAGGTTCGCAGCACCGGTCTCGTTTCGATCCTCCTTCGGCAGGTCGTCTGGCATTCGAGGGGAATTCCGTCGTTTATATCGCTTTGTCTGGACCAACAACATTTCGAGAGCAAGCAGCGCAGTGAGCCCATGCTGTGCACACCAGAGACCCACGAACAGCAGCGAGAAGGGCACCACTCGCGGTGATACGATCCTCGTTGCGCGAAAGGGTTCTCTCATGTGCCCGAGCAAGCCAACAACCTTGTTCGTGCCCTCATCCTCCTTACTTCAAATCTTGTTCCGTTCCGAGGTGCTAGGCCACCTCGGCAAGTCCGTCCTCGATATGCCGGAATGGACTCAGTCCAGGCGCAATGCTTCGACTGGACCTCCGATTGTCGGAGTGAGGGTGTCTGCGCAAGCACCCCTCAAGGAAACGGGACGAGGAGCTGACTCTGCTCACTGCTCACTGCTTGCATCTGGACATGACGGCTGAGACTTGAATTCCGGGACCAGGCGGAGATTCAGAACCACGGCCGCGTAGGGCTGGGATTTCTCCCGCGGTGCGATAGCCTCTCTGGCAGTTTGACAACAGCGCGACCGGACGGACCAGGGAGCTTGCCAGGCTGCCCTTGGCACAGTACGCGGTCATAGATGCGTGTGTGAAACGCCGAGGGTAGGCTCGACTTCCATGTCCATAGTGACGTGCCACCGTGTGCGGACATTGTTGGAAGGATGACTGACGGCCAAGCCGACAGGACGACCTCCGTAGACAGAGGGGCCGGGAAGAACGAGGTCCGTTTGGAGGAAACGCTCAAATCCGGTGGAAGAATATGCGACAGAGTGTCTCGACGAAAGGCGCAAGGTCAGATGACCTCATCGGTAACATACCTTGATGTGCGCTTCGGTCACGTCCTTCGGCTACGGAGGGAGTCAGTTTGAGGATTGAAAAATAAGTGTAGCTGACGAAATGGGCCGGTACGTACCATGTTGGAGACAACAATCTTGCTGGTGCCTGGGGCGGAAGTGGGCTTGCTAGGCGCAGGCTTCGCGGCGGCATTGCGATTGGGCCTCGCGTTCTTTTGGATACCACCGACAGGGGCGGCGGTGGCCGGGCGACCGCCGGTAGAGCGACGGGCAGAGCTAACCTTGCGGCTAGATGTGCGGCGCTGGTTCGAGAGGATCTCGTCGAGCGACTTGTCGAGCTTGTTGGCCGACATGGTGAAGAAGAGATGTTGGTGAGGGGGAGGTGAGAGACTTCCTGAACACGATCGAGACGCGATCGTGATGAATGGCTTCAGTTGGCGAGAGGGCGACTCAAGTTGAAGGACTTGAAGGTCGTGAATACGATTTGTTTGTTGTGGCAGAGATTGAAAGGCGGGCGAGCTGGTCTGGATCGCGCGATGAGAAGGCAGAAGAGGTCGCGCGTGATTGCGCAAAAGAAGTGAAATGAAGAAGATGGTGGCGAATTAAAAACAAAGACTAAGACTGGCGAAGTTGGGTGCAGCCTGTGTGGTATAAAGAAGAAACGACGAGCGTTGACGGAGATGGGTCGTCGACTCTTGCGGGCTGGCGTGGTTTGTTTGAGGATAGGAGAGAAGAGGGAGTGGGAGAGGCGGACGGAGAAAGGCCACGGTCAGGAGCTTTTCATCACAAAGGCAACCGCCGAAAGGGGCGCGCGCGACCGAAAGCAAACAGGCGCGGGCTGTGGCAGCCCAGGAGTGAAAAACACGGTTAGGCGCTAGTCCCTTCTTGGCAGTCCAAGCCCAGCCACACCCAATTCCTGACTCAAGCCCCCACAGGGGGGTGCAATGGTCCTGGATAGCGGTCCCGGGTGGATCCTTGGTTGGTTGCCTGACTGCAAGCAGTCGCGCGCCGAAGCTCAAGTCGTCATTCGTTGTTGGTGCTGGGCGAGACACGTGGTATGCTTTGCAACGATGCATATCGCCTTAGGCGGCAGTGAGTCGACTGCTTTGTTTGCAGACAGAGCCCAAGCATCACCTGCCTCGACCCTGAGTGGCCGCGGGGAAGCCGACGACGCAGGGACATCCCCCAAGACTCGAAAGCCAGGAAATAGGTAGGTACTGATTAAAACAGAAAAAAGGAAACAAAGAACGTAAGGCGGGAAGATCACAACAAGGAGGTTAGCGCTCCGTGTCGGAGCGATCTTTCTTCTTAGGCTACCGTAGTAGGTAGGTTTATAACACTTTTGATAATCTATGCTGCTCTCCATCTACTAGACCCCTTGTCCCTGAGCCCCCTGCTCCCCTTCATTCCGCTTTGGATCTTGAAGGGCAGAGGCACTTTTGGGCCGGTGTGGTATGCAGCGATGTGCCCATAGATTGCGGCTTGTTTTTGTGTATCGTGATGGTATCATAGCTCTCCTTCGTCCTCCAAACATCGTACATGCACCGTCGCCGCCGCCTGGTTTCCGCCTGCCGCTGCATGCCTATCCTCCCACCAGCTCTGCCGGTTGGCTGACGAATAGGTGGCAAAGGCTCTCGTGGCCTGGAGCTCCCCAACTTTCCGCCTATGGAGCATCGTCATCTCGGTGCGACCTTGGCGGGTTGGGCTCCTGTCCTAGAAACTGAGGCCTTCTTCGCATCGGCGGGTTCGCTTTCGAGGGTGTTGACTTCAAGGAAGTGATACACCACTATCAGGACCATGGCGGCGGAGCCGAGTATGATGGCGATCTGGTACAGCTCGTTGTCTGTGATCATGGTCGCGGCGATGTGTCCCGGTGGGTAGGAGGCGGGCTTCGCTGTTTGTGACGTTAGCTCTGGGATCAGGGCGGCGGCGGCCGTCGGAGCTTCTCTGGAGGTTTTCGCGCAACGAACCTGAGGGTCGCTGAGCTGCGCTCGGAGTGATATCTGTCCGGACAGATTTACAATGCGGTGTGTCTCGCGATGATGTGTTCAACTGGCCGTCTTGGGTGACACTGGGGTGGTGGGCGTGTGCAGGTGCGTGTCGTGTCGGCATTCAATTAGGCCAGGTTTCCACCTCCAAGCAAGTCAATCGCCAAGCGTTTCTTGGGGCTGTTCCACCCACACGGCCTGCTTTCCACCCAGGTACGGCCCTGGGGTACCCTAACCCTGCGCAAGCCCCAATACACCACGATGCTGTGACAGAACCTGGTATGAGGGATCCCCTTGCGCCGACGACAAGAAAGAGGGCAGTTTCACCTAAGAAATAGGAAGGCTGCTACGACCGTAGAAGCAGCAATAAGAATAACGGTAAGAATAATAGTTATTATGACATCCTCCGTTCTGTCGTTCTAGACCTCGTTCCCCTACCCTATATTCTACATGTGAAAACCCTCGAACTCCCGGGGTTGCGGGGAGCTCACCCCGGTGCCTGGGCGGAAACCCCACGTCAGCTTTCCCGCTCGCAGTCGTGTTGAACGGTGAGAGCGTCTGCTGGTGCTTCTTCAACTGCGCTCAAAGATCCCTGCGTGGGAACGCCGTTTTGATCGTTCGGAAGGAAAAGACTCGAGGAAATAACTTAAAGGCAACAGGAATAACCAAAAGAATACAAGTAGGAAAGCCTGTAGCATTAACCATTTTAATCCCTGGGACCTGTACAACCGCCATATTTTTTGTACTGGTCGTGAAAGATGATCATTTCTACATGGCCTGCTCTAGATTCTAATACTGCCTTGTGCTACTAACAATGGCCTTCGACAGCTCCTCGCTGAACCGGTCCACGGGGTCCCGGGCCATCTGTGCGCCCGCTGCGATGGTTAGCACCGTCTTGACGCCAACGCCGACGGTGTCGGTGCCCGTGATTCCCTGGACCCCGTTGAGGCAGGCGTTGACGTCCGACGACTCCAGGAGCTGCGACTCGGTCAGAACCTCGCCCAGCTCCTTAAGGTTCCGGACCGCCGGCACCGCAATCTCGCGGTCGAACGCGTCCATCATGTCCAGCTGGTCCAACATGCCACGGCGCGAGGTAGTGGCGAGAATCAGCAGGCGGTGGCCCTGTTGGTTGGTTTCGTGCGTTAGCAGATATACGTTATGTAGGATGGCAGTAAGCACGCAGACGAAACCCGACCTTTGGTGGTGGCGCCTTGCAGAGCGTCAGGATGGCCTGCACCATGGTGTTGGACATGCGCGGGCCGATGGGGTTCCACTCGATCATGCGCTCGATATTGTCCAGGATCAGCAAGCTCAGCGGCGACTTGTATGCGTCGGTAAAGACCTTGTGCACGTAGTCCTTCTTGGCTACCTCGTCCCTGTAGCCTAGCAGGCTCGTGGGGGTGATGATCTTGACGAAGGGGAAGTCGGACTTGATGGCGATATGGGCCGCCAGCGCCGTCTTGCCCGAGCCCGGGGGGCCGTGCAGCAGCACCGACATGTGCTTGAGCCGCTCTATCTGCCGTACGTTGTTGGCGTATTCTATGCCGTCGCTGAGGATGCCTCGGATGACAGGCGAGTAGTCCATAATGCCGTAAACGATGCTCGCCCCAAGTTCTTCCTCGTCCACGCCAAACGCCGACTTGACCTCGGAGAGCGCGTTGAGGAAGTCGGCTCGGTTGACCTTCATATCGGCCACCGAGTCCGACACGCCCGCCATGGTGCCCACCTTGATGTGCCGGTTGAAGGCAAACGACGTGGCCGACTTGACCAGACCGTTCAGCTCGGCTCCTGAAAAGTTCTTGGTCTTGGCCGCCAGCTCCGCCGTGTCCACGTCCGCTTCGATGACGTTGTTCTTGACCATCTTGGAGGTGTGGATCTTGAGGATCTGTTCACGGCCAGGCTCATCCGGCAGACTGATCTCGATCTGCACCTCGAGACGGCCTGGACGGAGTAGGGCGTCATCGATCATGTCTTTGCGGTTGGTCATTCCGATGAGAAGGATGTTGTTCAGTTGATCGACACCGTCCAGCTTGGACAGAAGCTGATTGACAACGCTGTCGCCGACTCCAGTGCCGCCCCCTGAACCTGAACCACGCTGCTTGCAAACTGCATCCAGCTCGTCAAAGATGATGATGTGAAGGTCACTTTCGTCGCCCTTCTCCTTGTACTCCTTCTCCGCGTCGGCGAACAGCTTGCGGATGTTCTCCTCGGACTGTCCGACGTACTTGTTCAGCACCTCGGGACCGTTGATGACCTTTGGCTCCCTCGCGTTGAGCATCTTTCCGATCTGGCGGGCGATCAGCGTCTTGCCCGTGCCAGGGGGTCCGTAGAGCAGGATTCCCTTGACGTGCATGATGCCGAGCCGCTCGATCAGGCCGGGCGGGAAGATGCGCGAAGCGAAGGCACGGCGGAAAATGGTGCTGAACTCGTTGTCGAGACCGCCGATGCCCATGTCCTCGAATTTGAAGTCGGGCGAGACGATGGAGTTGGAGGCGGCCTTGCGGCTGGACGCCTTGAGTTTGATTGGTGACTTGGTGTCGCGGAAGAAGTCGACGCTTGTCTGCGTGGTCAGCACGCCGCGGGACCCCGGGTCGGAGCTCGTTTGGGATCCCGACTTCTCGCCCATGCTCAGGTCAACCAGCGTGACCGTCTTGACGACAAGGATGAGCGGGACGCTCCTTATGTCGAGCAGCACCCGCTGGCGCGGCGCAAACATCTGATTCGAGAAGGTCTTTTGCACCGCCTTCTCCAGCTCTTCCTGGTCATAAGCTTCGTCCGTGAACTTCTTGCTCGACGCGAAGCTAACCTCGACGTCCATGGATCCCAGGTACGGCGTGCCGCCACCGAGCGGGTCGTAGAGCTCGCCCTCGAGCTCGTCCATGACGCCAATGGTCATCCACGCCCTCTGGGGCTCCGACAGGCCGATGCCGCCGCGCGGGAAGCCGGGCGTCGGGCGGCCCATGACGACATAGTCCTGACCCTTCATCATCGGGCCGCTGATGCGTATGTAGAGGTCGCCATCTCCGGATGATGCGGGGAAGTCCTCGGGCGAGACGGCGCAGATGTTGGTGAATATGTAGATGTTCTGCAGGTTCTTGTCCTCGACCTTGGCCGGGCGGAGGCGGACCTTGCGACCGCCCGCCGACTGCTGGCCGTAGTTGCCGGGCGGAGGGGCCCCGTAGCCGCCGCCGCCGCCTTGTCGTTGCTGGGGCGGTGGTGCACCGTAGCCGCCGCCTCCGCCGCCGTAGCCCTGCTGTTGCTGGGGAGCACCGTAGCCGCCCCCGCCGCCATAGCCTTGCTGCTGCGGGTAGCCCTGCTGGGGTGGCGGGCCGCCGGGTGCGCGCTGCACTTGGCGGCCCGGAAGACCGCCGCCGCCGCCGCCCGCCCGCGGGCCCTGCCCGAAGAGGTTGTTCCGGGCGTCCATCGCTTATTTATCACGGATCGGGGTTCGTGTCGCAGGGCAGCTTGGTCGGGTTGATCGGCTCGAGATTCTACCGTCTGCGCTCGGATTCGACGGTCAAAAAGGCAGGACCGGCCTGGGAAGTTGTGAGGTTTGGTGGTTTGAATAGGGAAGGCGGTTCGGTTCGTTGTGCAAGGAAGATGTGCTGGAGCTGGAGATGTGGCTACACGATTCGGGAACTGGCCACACTGCATTGATTATGACAAGGCCAGGTCACCAGGGAGCCATGAACTAGAATTAGATTCACACCAAAATGGATGGCAGTCACACTTTTCCCGGGAAAAGCGACTCTTTTGAGCAACTACCATAGAGAACAACATTTTTACATATTGTTCAAGGTTAAATTTAATTATTCGTTATTCCTCGTTGAAAAGTCGAGTTGATACCGGTCGGTACACGCCAGTGGGTATTTAGGCATTCAACCCCACCATCGACTTGACCATCTACCCCATGCCGCTGAATGCCTTTTGGGAGAGCACGCGCACTACCAAAAAATGGCTAGTCATTTATGCTATAATCTTTCTTAGTCTTATTGTTATTCTTATTTCCTGTATCCTGTTTCATATATCACTTATACTCTTTCCCTTTTCCTAACTATTTACGTCTTTCTTGTTCTTATCCCTTCCTATGTGTCAAGTTCACTTCTTTCCATTTCTCTTTAGCGTGCTTCACAATCAGATTCGCTCTGCCGACAGTGCGACCTGGGGTTTTACGCAGCCGCGTAGAAACCTCGCCCTGCCAGACGCAGAATAGTTGTGTGGGGTGGCTGTGTAAGCCCAATCGGGGTCGATTACCAGCAGCCATGTGCTGACCTTTTGCCTTTAATACCTTCTGATTCCGTGCTCTGGCTGCCTTTCGATCTGTCTTCCCCCATTTCCTATCCCTTATTCCGCTCCCAAAACCCGCAGATATGGAGTGTCCTAAAAGGGGGCCTGTGATGGCCACCTACCAGCCTTCCAGTCCATTCACCAGGTCCGGCTGGAACCAAAACCCCCTAATCCCATTCAATGGTCAGACTCACCGCCGCCACCGGCTTCAGCAGGCAGGCAGCTTGCAAAGTTGGGTCAGACAGGCGCCCTCAACCATGACGACAGTGGAGTCCTCCCAAGACTACGCATCCTCTTCGGAGGATACGGATAGCTCAAGCCTCCCCAAGGCAGTCATCGTTGATAAGGTCATGTCCTTCTTTGTCCAATGGCTCGACAGAAGGCTCGGGGTCCCACCCAGCACCCCTGTACCCATACCCTCCGCGACAAGGGGATTTATCGCTTTGGCGCCTGCTGCCGGCCCGGAAAAAGAATGGACCAGTACCTCAGACCTGGCCGAGAGGCTTAGGATACAAAACCGCATTGCGCAGCGTAGCTACCGTATGCAAACCGCGTATCTTCCAGTCCGTTGAAGCCATAATCTTGGCATAGGCTGACATTTTCCCACAATACGCTCAGGCAAGAAGCTCAAGAGGCGCCTTGAGCAGCTGGAAAGGCGGGCGGGGGGCTCGAGCGGGACGGTCGCGGGGGGCACAGCGTTGCCGGGGGGCAGCCACAGTTCCTCTCCCCAGCCCGCCACCGGTCATGGCAGCACCGCAGGAGCAAAACGGGCCGGCGGCGATGGCCAGTCGGACCCAGACAGCGGCAGCACCGACGGCGATGATAAAAGGCGGGGAAAGCGGCCGAGGCTCGATGCGCAAAACGACGGCAACGAGAGGGCAAAACTCGCATGTCCTTACTACAAGCACAACGCGCGCAAGCACAAGCAGCAGCGCCCGTGCTGCGGGCCAGGGTGGGATTTTGTTCACCGGATCAAGTAAGTCGGCCTCTTTCTTCCACACAGCGCCTCCCGGAACCATGCCCTGGCCTTGGCCAACTAACCCCCCTTCTACCACAGGGAACACCTGTACCGGAAGCACGCGTTGCCGAGATACAGTTGCCCCCGCTGCTGCGAGCGCTTCGAGGCCGAGGACGAGCTCAGCACGCACGCCAGGGCGCCGGAGCCGTGTGGGGTCCGCGAGCCCGAGCTGCACGACGGGTTCACACAGGCGCAGGAGAAGCAGTTGCGGTCCCGGAAGAAGGACCGCGCCGCCGGCGTCGAGGACCTGACCGAGCCCCAGAAGTGGCGACAGATGTACCGGATCCTCTTCCCCGACGTGCGCGAGGAGGAGATCCCGAGCCCCTGTAAGCTGTCATGGCCGTGACTAACAGAGGACCGTCAGGTCTGTCTTATCTACGCTAACAATGACGGATGCTTGTAGATTACGAGGACAACGACTTGAACAAGGGCGAACTCGAGGGCTTCGAAGACTACCTTCGAAGGGAGCTGCCGCCCCTGGTGAGACGGCAACTCGAGCAGGAAGTCGAACGGGAGCTCAACTTCGTCGAGGAGGGCTTGAAGAGGCGCGTCATCAACATGGTCCAAGGCCTTCAGCTGACCCTCCTCCAAAGCTACCGCAAGCTCGAGGAATCCGAGGCGGCCCAACCCGAGGCGGCCGGGCCGGTACCGGCTGCGTCGGTAAACCTGGCGCCGGACCTGAACGACGAGTCCAGCTCCGAGAACAGTCTCTTGCCGGACCAAGGCGATCCAGCAGCCCAAGTGGCCTCGCAGCCACCTGAACCCATGGAGTTCGGGGCTGGGCCGTTTGACGAGCTTTGCGCGTGGGACGATATCCAGAGCTACCCATACATGGTGGCCGACGACCTCGACTTCCTCGGTTCGAGCGGGTCGCTTGCCGATTATTACCCGATGCTGGCCTCAGACTCAGGCTACACCTCGGGTGGCGGTGATGTGGACAAACCCGACTCTTCAGTCCCAGAGGATCCAAGCGACTATGCAGGGGTTTGGGTTCCCTCTGGTGCGACTGCGGGCTCCAGCGGCGATCGCTACATCTCGCTCAACACCGACGACTCCATGGTGCCGTCCGGACCCTCACCTGTGGAACCTATATCGGGATTCCTGCGCCCTAATCTCCTGCCCTTCAACTCGACGGATCAAAACCTACCCTGCAATACCCTTTCCGTCGGGAACTTGCCTATGGATACGTTTGAGGAGGAGCTCAAAGGAATTTTTTCCAACCAGAGGGGGTACAAGCGCATTTGCCTCCGTACCAAGCAGAGCGGGCCTATGTGCCTTGTCGAGTTTGAGGACGTTTCTTTTGCGACCAAGGCGCTCCACGACTTGTATGGTTACAAGCTGCACAATAGCGCCGAGGGCGGAATCCGCCTGAGCTTCTCAAAGAAGCCGCTCGGCGTGCGCTCTAGCCCGGGATAGCATGCTGAGGGAATAACGTATTCGTGTAAATATTACTCGTTTGGATGGATCGCTCGCTTTTTGGGCGCGCCTGTGATTTGACAATCGCGAGGAGATGGTCTAGTCATCAAACCCGCCAAACTCGGCGTCGTCATCGTGCAGAGCATCCTGCTTGGTCTTCTTCCTGACCTCGCCGAGGAGCTCCTCGAGCTCGCGCTGCTTCTGCTTCTCCTCGTCCGTCATCTTGGACGTCCGCTCCGCGTCCCGCTTGCGCTTCTTCTTCTCCCTCCGGGCTACCCGCACGTCCTCCTGCCCCTGCCTGCCGCTCCAGGCCTCGTTCTTCTTCTTCTTCGCCGCCACGGCCGCGACCGCCGCCGCGGCGCCGCCGCTCCTCTTCGCCTCCTCGGCCTCGGCCATCTCGATCTGCCGCTGCTTCTCCTTGGTCTTGTCCTTGAACTGGACGCTGTTCAGGTCTATGCCGAGGCCGAGGCCCCGGTCGATGCCGCTGCCCTTGAGCTCGGGCATCTTGGGTAGGCTCAGCAGACCCCACCCCTCGGCCATGTCTACCCAGTCGATGTCGGTGATGCGGAATATGCTGGTGGCCTTGTGCTCGATGTAACTCCTGGCCCAGGACACGAATGCTCGCTGAGAGAGCATGAGCACCTCCCTGTCAGCAAGCGCCTGCTTCCTGACCGCTGATGCGAACGCTGAAACCTCCTCCTTCGACACGTCGATAACCGGATTCTCGAGTGGGGTGATGGGTGTCTTTCGGACCTCGAGAAACCCCACGTAGTCCTGCTCACGGCCAGGCAGCAGCAGAGCTACAGCGAGTCCCCGCCTTCCTGCCCTGCCAGCACGCCCAGCCCTGTGGAGGAACGTCTTGGGGTCTGAGGGTGGATCAAACTGAAATACGACGTCAACTTGGGGAATGTCAAGACCTCTAGCCGCCACATCTGTGGTGAGTAGAACAGCCGGGCTGGAAGATCCCACAAAGCGATCGAAGCATCTCTCCCTGACTTGCGGCTCCTGTTTTCCGTGTAATGGAATCAAGGATACTCCCTTGGGAAGTAATAAGGCGATTACGGCGTGGAAGTATCTGGTGACAGTGTCAGTCACCATGTGCCACCGCGTTCAGCGCAGAGATACAAAACAGAGAAGAGGATAAGCCCGTACTTGACAGCAAAACAAGACGACACGAATATGATAGTCCTTAATGGTGTTGGCTTCACCTTGTTCAAGAACTGAATGAGCGCCGGCCACTTTTGGCTCGCAGACACGGTGAGGTACGACATCTGCAAGCTAGCAGGCGTTTTCATATCCTCCACGATGCCGCCGTCGGTCAAGCGCTTGACCGTGACGGCGACACGCTGCGGATTCCGCAGCCCTGCACGGACCAGCTCACCGACGGCATCCGAGACGCTGGCGCTGAACAGTCCCGTCCGGCGCTGCTTGGGCAGGAAGCCCAGGATGCGCTGGAGCTCGTTCTGGAAGCCCTGGTCCAGCAGGCGGTCGGCCTCGTCCAGCACCAGGACCTCGAAGGACGACTGCGGGGTGTGCACGTGCGGCGACGACAGCAGCTCGGCGAGCCGGCCAGGGGTCCCGACCAGGATGTTGGGGCTGGTGCGCAGGAAGGCTGAGAGGTCCTGGGCCGCCTTTACGGTGCCGCCGACCAGTAGCTGCGAGACGAGGACGGGCACCGCCGTTTCTGGCCGCTTCTCGTCGCCCTTGAGGAAGGGGACAAGGCCCGCAGATGGCGCGTGGAATGATATTATCGAGGTGAGCACGCTGTGAATCTGCGTGGCCAGCTCGCGGGTCGGCGACACTATGACGGCGCCGACATGATGGCGCTTGATAACATCTTCCCTCCGGAGAAGCCTGTCGATGACGGGGACTACATTTTGGTGTTAGCATGAGTGACACCAAGGCGGAGGTGGAGCTGTCATGACTTTCACAACTTTCGTGACTTTCATGGCCCTTGTGTCACTCACTCAGATATGCCAGCGTTTTCCCACTGCCGGTGACTGCCTAGCCGTGAAGCACAGTTAGTAGACAGATAAACGCCGGTAGTTCAGTCGGATTACGTACCTCAACCACTACATCTTTGTTCCCCCTGAAAAGGGGGAGGGTGGCGGCCTGGACAGGTGTGAGTTCTTTGAAGCCCATCGACGCCACTGCCTCGAGGATGAAATCCGCGAGGGGCGGCGTCAGGGCATCCCATGACCGGGGAAACTTCCGAGGGGCGCTGGGCGCCATGGGTGTTGGATACTGACGATGAGAGCGCCTGGAATTGCAGACTCGCAAGCGCCTGTTAGTGAGTTCGCGCTCAAGTGACGTCCAAAAAAAAAATCAATTGGGAAACGCGACCACAATCTTATCGGCAAGCCAATGTGGGGTCTGTCGCTTATCGTTCATGCGCTGTAAATTTGGTGGAGACCCAGCCCCACAAGGCTTGTTGATCCAAACTGGTGGGAGAGCTGGTCTCGTGCCTGATGTCACCATACAGTACACATGGTCACTTGGGCTGCGTGGAGCGTGAAGCACAGATTTGGGGTACATGAGCTGGCATCGATGGGTACCTGGAGGGTCACTGGAGACGGTGAGGCATTGATAGGCTTCCACGAGACTACTTAGTGGTAGTCACCACCTCGGTCCAGTGAAGATGATCGACTGCAGGCTCAGGGCAATTCCTGCCTCTGCCAAGGCAAATCCGGACTTTGGGCCAGCAGCGGCCTTCCTTGTTTACTGGGAGCCACTCAGCCTATCACATGCCAGCACCCGTCAAGTGCACGGCCTCCCGTCGCACCCGCCGGGCGTCCAATCCATGTGGCCCAGGGTCGTTGACGTGACGTGTTTTCAACCGAGCTGACCGGCCTTGGTACGCATTTTGGTCTAATTTTTCAAGCCCATCCCCAGCTTCCCTGCATTAAACCGCATCGCCAGCACCCCAGCGCCCCTAAATTTGCCCCTCCTCACCCGCCGCTGGTGGGCTTCCAACAGGCCACCAATCTCGGCCGAAGTCTGACGGGCCGCATTGCTGGCGCTGCCTCCCTCTATCCTCCTCCTCCTCCTGACGATGTGGTGGAGGCTCACGGCCTTCCACAGCATCGCCTCTCACGCTGGATCCAATATCACTGGCCACGCCCAACACCATCACCAAACGCCCTCAGCAGCCACAGCCGCAGCCGCAGCAAGCGCCTGAAACCACCTCGGCCCCCACCCCAGAGCCTCCGCCTTGCTCTCGCGTCTCCCGACGGGACAACCATCTCGCATCTCTCGCCGTTTCTTGCGCACCGACACCATCGCTGTTTTACTTCTCTGTCCAGCGCCTGCGCTTTTTCCAGCGCGGCCGAACTCTCGCAGGGCTGATATCTTTGCCCCCACTTCCTCTTTTCGCGCTCGAGCACGACGACGAAGCCGTCACCATGTCTGCCGCCGTCCAGAGGCCGCCAACCACCCGTGTCATCTCGCCGAGTCCCACGCCGTCCGAGAGACTGAGGGATGCCCAGGCATCCTCTCAGGACTCATACCTTGGGCCCACGACGAGGTCAGCCGCCCGCAAGCGGCTGTCGACCCCGCAGCCCGTCGAGGAGGACATGGACGAGGATGAATATGATGGCAACCCAGACGCTCGAAGACCTCGCACACGAAGCCGCAGCCCCATCAAGTCGCGCCGCGTTGCGCCGCTGTCGTCAGCCAATGGTGCTAAGGCGGCCAAAATCAGCAAAACAAAGGCCACCACGCTTGCACCGACTCCTGAGTACGCCACCGATGAAAAGAAGAGTAAAGGCAGCGCCACCGGTGCAACACCTGTTCTCCCTGCCATCAAGACCAACGGCCACCTCGCGCCACCAACGACTGCCCCGCCGTCGTCGACCTCATACTGGAGCTGGCGCGACTTCAGCCGGAGCCCTTCTCCTCTCGGGCTGATCCCCATCCACCGGCACTGGCGCACCTTTGTGCACAAGCACGAGGTGCCGCGCAAGTTCCTGCACGTCTCGATCGGCTTCGTGGTCGTGTGGCTGTACCTACGCGGCACGCAGGCCGACGCCGTGTGGCCGTGGCTCCTGGCGGCGCTGGTGCCCGTCTCGGCCGTCGATCTGCTGCGCCACCACCACCCGGGCTTCAACCGCTTCTACGTCTCGGTCCTGGGCGCGCTGATGCGCGAGTCCGAGTTCTCGGGCTACAACGGCGTCATTTTCTACCTCCTCGGCGCCCTGATCGTACTCTACTGCTTCCCCAAGGACGTCGGCACCGTCGGCACCCTCCTCCTCAGCTGGTGCGACACGGCCGCGAGCACCTTTGGCCGCCTCTACGGCGCCTACACCCCACGCATCCGCCGCGGCAAGTCCCTCGCCGGCTCATCGGCCGCCTTCCTGGTCGGCGTCGCCACCGCCGCCTCCTTCTGGGGCTGGCTCGTCCCCACCTACGGCCCGCTGCCCGGCGACGAGGCCTTCATGTTCAGGGGCTCGCTGTCCCTGCCCCCCGCCGTCGCGGAGCCGCTCGGCTTATCTGCGGCCCAGGCCACCGTGTCTGGCCCGGTGGCGCTCGGCGTCGTGAGCCTTTGGTCCGGCTTCGTCGCGGCCGCCAGCGAGGTGGTCGATGTTTTCGGCTGGGATGACAATCTTACCATTCCGGTACTTTCTGGCTTCTTCATCTGGGGATTCCTCAAGGCCTTTGGCTGAGGCACGCACTGTGTGCAATAACTAGCTTTACATTTTCCCTCCTGGGTTTCCTATTAGACTACACTCACTACACATATTCTTAATCCTGTCTTTACATACAGTATTTTTTTTTTTTGCGAAGGCATTCTGGTTTTGCAGCCTCCAAAGCTGTGTTGCTGTTTTACCTGGGTTTCGCGTATTCTTATGTTACGTGGCTGGGCGTGACGTGCAAGAGATGTATGGGAAATGATGTATGGATGCAATGCCGAGTTTGACCGTTCAGCTCCAACTCTAGCTAGACGCATGTGTATACCTAGATTTTATGATATTCAAGACGAGGGTTATCACAGTCACAACAATGCGGGCGCTTTAAGGAGGTAGTATTACCTTGTGCCCGATACAATGCTGTCATACAAGCGCAAACCTCTGCAGCCCCGATACGCCACGCGCCTCCAGCGCCTCGGGCATCATGCGCGGGTCCGAGTTGACAACCTCACCCGTGCCGCGGTTGCGGAAGTAGTCAAACATCTCCGGGTCGTCCGCCTCCTCCTCCTCGCCCTCGCCCTCGCCCTCGCCGTCCTGCTCCTCCTCGGGGAGGCCCCGCCGCCCGCGCAGCCGCTCCCAGGCGCCCGGGAGGGGGACCCCCGCCAGGCGCGGGTCCTCGCGCGTGCGCACAACGCCGCCGGCCGCCGCCGTCGTCTTCCTGCTGCGGCCCACGAACCAGACCGACAGGCGGTTCCCGTGGGCGACGGCCAGCTCGACGCGCCACGGCCCCGGGAGGGGGCCGAGCAGGGCCGTGGCGTCCTGCAGGCCGTGGATGAAGCACTCTCCCATGACGGTGTAGTAGTAGCGGCGGTGCTGCTGCTGCCGCTGCTCCTTGCTGCTGCTGGTCGTATCTACCTCGGGGCCTGCAAGAGCCTCGGTCGGTCTGAGGAGGACCGGGCTGTCGCAGCCGAGGAGGACGGCGACAACATCCCCTTTTGGCAAAGGAGTGGCACAACTGGTGAGACCAGGACACACTTTTCAGACTGGACGGGTCGACAAAGCAACAACAACATACCTGGCCGCGCGCCAGCGGGAGCCAGGCCGACGTGGCCCTCCCTCGTCCTGACGTACGTCTTGCCCATGCAGAGCTTGATGGCCCTCCCGTGCGCGGCCGAGTCGGGCGGCGGCGCCCTGGTCGTGCCGCCGCCGCCGCCGCCGCCGGGCCTCTCGGGCATCAGGCCGACCTCGCCCGAGTTGGCCTGGACCCAGCGCCTCCGGTTGGTGCACTTGAAGCCCGGGTACCGCTCCTGGAAGATGCCCCGGCGCAGCGTCGCGGCGTGCGCCAGGCCCAGGGGCGTGTTGGTGGGCGGGCACGTCGCCGTCCTCCAGTCCGCCGGCTGCCACGACCGTATCACCTCGGCGGGGTCGGCGGCGCCTGGCAAGAGAGGGGTCGACACGGACGCGACGACGGCGCAGCGCACGCCCAGGACCTCCAAGACATCACTGGCTCCCCCGGCTGGGGGCGGCGGCGGCGGCGGGTGGTGCCAGAAGTGGGCGCGCGAGTGGCCGGCGGCAAAGTCGGAGTGGCGCGACATGTCGAACGAGACCTCGCTGCCGCAGGTCAGGTCGGGCACCCACGAGGGCAGGCCCTCGACGGCGCCGCGGCCGTCCTGGCGGCAGCGCTTGAGCAGCTCGAGGCGCAGGCAGTGGCGCACGTGCGTCAGGGTCGTCTCGCGCATCACGTCGGCGACGGCCTTTGAGTACTGGGGCCTGATCTTGGCGGCCAGGCGCGGCGGCGCCATGCCCAGGAGCCCGTAGACGCGATCGCGGGGGTCCGTGTGGCCGCGGCCGTGGCCCATGTCGAGCACGGCGCAAAAGGTCAGGCCCGTCTGGTCGTCGGTCATCTGCTGCGCGGCCTGGAGCTTGGGCCGCAGCTCGGGCAGCGGCAGCCGGTCCTTGCCCCGCAGGCACTTGACGGCGCGCCGGAAGAGCGACAGCGGGATCGTGTCCGGGCCGGCCTGCACCACGGCGCGGCGGCCCGCCAGCCTGGCCTCCTGTATGATCCACAGCCGGGTGAACCACTTCCTGTTCATGAGGGCGTCGATGGCGTCCCACGTTGCGCCGTCGTACGGGAGCTCGGCCGCGCGCTCGACCCAGTCCGGGTGCGCGGCGCCAGGCGCCGGGATGCGCATGTTGGGCACTAGGACCTCGACCTGGCGGCCGAGATGGTGTAGTGTCCGCAGCGCGAGGCCGCTGTTGTCAGCCTCCGGGCCGAGGAAGGCAACGACACGATGCGCAGACTTGAAGATCTCGCTCATCCGTGCAACCTGATGCTCCTTTTCATTGTTGTTGTCCTGGTTGATGCAGATGGCGTCGATCCACAGTCGCCGTGGGCGGTCTCGGCGGCGGAGATTTCGGAGAGCCACAGCAAGGCTCCGGCCTATAATCTTGTACCCGCCATGGACCTCATCGTCTTGGTCCAACAACATCGGTTGTCTCTGCACAAATATTCTTTCATCTTGACCAACCCCAGTGTTCCATGTATACGACAGGGCCTCGTACTTCAGCGGTACTGGCGGGCTGGTCTCCTTCATCGGCGTGGACCCAGGAGATTGGTCGTCGAGATCCGGGTCAGTCGCAAGTTCGTACTTGGTCTTGTCAAAGGTCGAGTCCGGGTGTTCCCATTGCCAGTTCTTGCTTTGCTTATCCCCCTCGCTATTGAAGATGTATCGGCCCTCGGTGGTGATGCAGGCCAACCATCCAGGCGGAACTGTATCTTGTAGCTGTGCGAGCGTCAAACGCCTTCTTGTTTTGCCGCTCGAATGTCCACGGCATCTGGGGAGAGTGACGTGAATGATGTTGAGGGATATTTCGTCGTCCGGGCTGCCAGGTAGGATGTCGAGCAGTCGAATGTCAACAGCAGGGTCAGCAAGCGCCCTGTATTTGTACATTCTCGATAAGCCTCTTTCTGGTGGTGACTGTCCTTGATATGTGTTACGCAGGACGGAAGGAATATGCTGCTCGATGCGTTATCTGTGCCACAATGGGTGGCCGATGCGCGCCATTATAACCTGCTGGCTTGGCTTTGGGTTCGGCGATGGTAAGGCTGTCCAAAAGCCCGCGGCTCTGCTAATTTTCACGTAGTGTTGCATAGTTGTCGGAACTCCTGGCTCATTGCGCCTCCCACTAATTTTACCCTGTAGAGTGGCTGGCTTGTGCATCTGGAGACGTGATTTTTGGGAGCGTGTGGTTGCCTAGCTGATCCTTCAAGCCCTCCCCATGCTGATTTGCTGTCACCATGCCATGTGCAGGCTCACGCTGACCCCCTCACCATTGTGATATCCTCGCAGTCCTGCGTCACTAGTCTCTGACAGAAGGCCTGCCGGATGGGACATGGACTTGGCCGACTATTAGAATCTCAAATGCTAATGCTGTATTGAGCCCATACCCATTTCGTGTTTTGTATTGCGTTACAACTGACTCCCAGCTGCCTTTTCCTCAACCAAGGGGTGATGAGGGCATGGCTGCCACAGCCGAGGAGACGAGGTGTGATGAACCGACAATGAGTGCGTGCACCCCTGTGCCTGCGCTCTTTTCATCATCCCCGGCAGTCCCAGCAGCCAGTCTCTCTACGGTATCCATGGCCTCCTTGGCGGTTGCGCACCATGTGATGTTGACCCCGGGCTCCCACCCGGCCGAGCCTTGCCAGAGCTCGAGAACCTTGCGAGCCTCGTCATAGTCAAATACCTGCCGCCCCGAAACACGGCGCGAATGGCCTGCCAGGATGATATGGTCGAAGACCATCCCTTTTTCGCGGCAGTGTTGCAGTATTACCTTGGCCATGTCTGCTGTTTCTCGTCTGTCCGATTGGTGACCGAAGACTAGTGTTCTGATCCGCTTTGCTTGACAGAAAGGTGGCTGTCCTTCGGCGGGTTGGCCTCGTAGCCCTTTGTTCGCCTCGCCCGCCATGGGCACATCCATAGGTGGAAGAGGGTTGACTTTATCGAACCTGGATACCTCAGCATGGAACCAGTTAAGGGCCACAGGAAGGCTGATATCGTTGTGCGCAAAATCCAGGTACCAGCGCGTTTTCGACCCCTGGGGCGCTTCGACGACCTGAAAGCGCCCCGGCCACTGGAAGTTTTGTACTGCACCTAGGATCGTTTCCTGGCCAAGTGTTGTGCCCCGTTTCCCCAGGTATGCGTTGGCGAGATGTATCGCTAGAGATAGGTTATTCCGGGGTTCTGGCAGCAGCAGTTCGGGGCGGTAATCGGGCGCGTTGGGGGGTATGGCACTTGAGCCGTCGGGGCCTTGGGCATCGACAAAAGCCAGCGGGCAACCCAGCGCTTTGGCTTCGTGCACGAGCGGCTCTTTTGCTTCGGGAACCTGAGGAACGGAAAAGGCCTTGGCGCCCTTCTTCATGATGCCCGCCTTGTTCCACGCGATTTCGCCGACATTTTGTCCCAGCAACCCAACGTGGTCCAGTCCGATGGTGTTGAAGCCGCAGGCGACTGGCGTATCCCATACGTTTGTGGAGTCGAACCTCCCGCCAGCATGGACCTCGTACACGGCCACGGCGACGCCCTCGACACGGAAGATGTAGGCTGACAACAGGGCCAGAAGCTGGAGGTAACCAGGCATGCTGTCGACATGGCCTACATGGCGGAGGACCGTCTCCCAGACGTGGAAAAAGTGGCGGGCAAAAAGGGATTCGGACACAGGGGCGAAGTCGATCCGGATACGTTCGCGCTCCGACACAATGTGGGGAGACGTATAGAGGCCGACCTTGGGCCGGCCGGCGGCTTGGGGGTGCGACGACTGGAAATGGGAACGGAGGAGGGCGTCGGTCCACGCGCAGGTGCCACCTTTTCCCTTAGTGCCGGTAACGTGGATGACATCGAAAGGGCGGCTGGGTTCCTGTTGCAAGTAAAGAGGGAGGGAGTAGAGGAAGCGCCGTCAGCTCGAGCCGTTGTCTGCCTCGTTCCCCTCGCCTGGCATCCTGGCATCCTGGCAAACGTACATGGTGACCTAGCACAGCTAGCCACTCCCTCATCCCAACGTAATTGGGAATTGGGTCCCGCGGTGCGCCATTGGGAAGGGTGGCGACCTTCTTGAAGGCCTTGGAGCGCGAGGTGAGCAGCTTGATCGCTTCCTGGTAGGCGAGCCTCATCGCACGAGTGTCAGCACAGGCCCCAATTGTCGCGAGGACGACTGCGGGCACATTTCCGTGAGCAGCCCGACGCTGCAGCAATTCCAGCTAACCTCGTAGGTCCCCGACATTGGGAATTTTTGTCCTTGCACGGAAGCCCGAGCCTGGCTGGCCGCGTGTGCTACCGGT